GCAGGCCGGGGGGCTTGTGAAACATCCAGCCCCACGGAAACTGTGAATATTTTTAAAGTGTTGTTTTGTTTATTTATCCCCTTCCCTTGTTTATTGTAAGCTGCCCGGAGTCCTTCGGGAGTGGGCAGCATATAAGACCAATAAACATAAACAAACACAAACATAAACATCACCGCTGTTTGGTCGATACATAATTGCTTGATAAAAATGCAAAGTGGCATCAATTTTTTGGGGGGAGAGGGAGATGTGGGCCACATTTCTTAAATTACACCTTTGTAGGGATCAATCTGTGATGGAAATGGATAAATATTTAGAAAATGTTGCATTCCTTCTTGTGATCATTTATGCCATGGCTACCTCATGAATGGACTGTTGCAATGCCTCTACATGAGGCTGCCCTTGAAGATCATTCATAAACCACAGCTGGTACAAAATGCAGTGGGGCAAGCAATAATGCACACTTCACAATATCCCCTGCTTAGGCTGCCCTGGTTGTTAGGAAGTTTCCAGATGCAATTCAAATCTATCTCCAATTGTTTTGGCCTATTAGGTAGTTTTGGGTGAGTGAGAGCGCTCCAGTTCCTTTAAATTGAATGCTGCATCTTACAGGAATCAGGAAGTGTGCCTTTTCTTTCATGGCCCCCATCCTCTGGAACAACACCCCCCCCCCCAAAAAAAAATATTTGGATGCTCCCCACTCTTCTGAGATTCTGGAAAGCCTTGAAAATCTGTCTCTGTTCACAAAGCTAGGGTTAAGTGTGATATATTGGATGAGTCTCCGTTGTATTATATGTTACATTCTTTGCACTATTTATTTTAATTGTTTTAATCCGTGCTGCCTGTTTTTGTGCATTTTAATTGCCTTTGTTTTTTACGGATTCCAAATTAATTTGAATTGGATAATTAAATCAAGTTATTATAACTGAGAGGCACATAATCTCAATGCTGTATACTTCTATATACCAAATATTTTGGCAGAACTTCTAGACACTCATCCACAATTATTGTTTTTTTTTTTTCAAAAACCAGATCATCTTATTTTTTGTAAAATCTTTTCCCATGTTATTGTATAGTTGATCATTCTGCTGAAATCATATACCACTAGGAAGATTTCCAAACAATATCCCAATAATTTTTTCAACTATAAAAAGTATCCCATTTTAACAAACAAATCATAAGTCTTCCTCCCTTCCTAATCAATGATATGATAAATATCATTGATATGATATGATCAATGATAAAAATAAATATAAATAACCACCAAAGGGGAAAAAAAGTTTTAGTTGTTGCTTTTTATTCATAATATTGTTAACACGTAGTGTTAACAATACATGCACCAATTTTTTTTCTATATAAAGAGGAGTGTGAATTACAACAATACCAACTTGTGGGTATTTTCATGGNCACAACTTCTGGAGGCAAGTTGTTCCACTGATTAATAGCAATAGCAGTTAGGCATATACAGCTTCATAGGGCTTTCAGCCCTCTCTAAGCGGTTTACAGAGTCAGCATATCACCCCCACAACCTTGAGCCGGTGAGATTTGAACCGCTGAACTGCAGATAACAGTCAGCTGAAGTGGCCTGCAGTACTGCACCCTAACCACTGTGCCACCTCTGCTCTTTTTTGGTTTAATGACATGGGTTTATCCTCCGTCATAAATTGCCTTTGGAATGATATAAGCTCAGTCTTTCCCAGTTTTGCATGTAATGATTCATCCAACTTTTCTTTAATTTATCCATGTATTTCATTAACTGATGCTGGACTACCATTTGTTATTCTACAACTATACAAAATGTCTGGACAGTCGTTGACAGCTTTAGAGAGCTCAAGTTTTGGCAGAGCCCATCAGCTTTCATTACTACCACATTTTTCAGAGTATAAGATACACTCCCCCCCCCCCAAAAAAAAGGGGCTGGAAATTTGGGTGTGTCTTATACTCCGAACATAACTTTTTCAAAGGTTTTTTTTTTCACCCTTTTGAGGCGCCAATGAGTAAAGTGTTCTTCCCCACTTTGCCTGCTTTTCTCATTGTTCCTCACTCCAATGTTAGTGCCTCATTAGGGCTGAAAAAAAAAGCTTTGAATATTTTTACTGCAGCATACTCATCCCTTTGGATGCCGGTACATCTAAGTGAGGCTTGGAAGAGTAAAGATGAAACAAAATGGAGTCTGTGCTTCAAAAAACAATTTCTCAAGGAACGGAAAATCTACTTCTCTCCAATGCAACACATTCTTTTGCAAATTGTGCCCATCTTCTTTGAATGCCCTTCAACTTTTCTCTAGTATTGCTAGTATTACTCCTGCAAGTTTCCAGAATAGAAATAGCACTGATCATGCTAGTTGATGATCTCAGATAGAGTTTAGATAGGAAAGCGTACTCTTTGTTGGTCCAAATAGACTTCTCACTTGCCCTCAATAATGATTGTTTGTAATGATTGTAAGTGATTGTTAACAAGAGCCGAGGTGGCGCAGTGGTTAGGGTGCAGCACTGCAGGCCACTTCAGCTGACTGTTATCTGCAGCTCAGCGGTTCTAA